TCCTTTTAATCTGGGTTCTTCAACAGGTCCAGATTTTAATATAATCTGGGTTCTTCAAACGAGTTTTCAACGGGTTTAGATTCTCCATCCATAGACCTGAGTTTGGCTTTCTTGGGTTGTTTTCCCAATATTGTTGTTGGGTCTCAAAGCAAGTCGATTGGGGTTCACATCATTCGGTATCAGAGCAAAGGTTCTAGTTCAGGTTTGCTTAATTTTTTTTTTTTTAAAAAAAAACTTTATTTTCTTTATTCTATGTTCTTTACTCCCAAACTGGGTTCACAAATTATTGTTTAGTCAAATTTCCTTTGCCCTCCATTAAGCTCGTATTTTGCTGGTTCTAGTTTATTACAAAATCTTATTCTGTTACTATCAAAAGATAGTTGTTGATCATCAAAAAAAAACAAAAAACAAAAAAAGAAAGCTGTCACCAATTTTTCTTTCTATCCACTTTGCTCCACCAATTGGTTTTATCATTCCAAAAAACTTCAATGACACAATCAAAGGGATCAATTTCCAAAAATTTTCTTTGTTCTCCCAAGTAGAGACGAAAAGGAGACATCATCTTACAGCTTCTCAGAAACGGCTACATATACAAGTTCAAAGTTTTTGGGCTTTCATACTCCAACACTTTAAAACTTGAGGTGGAGTTTTCTCTAGCCTGGGGAGAATGATGCAATCCATAAGATGCTCAAGGAATCACAAATTTGAAGATGTGAAAGATAATGGAATTGGCTTTCCATCAAGACAAAGATCCATATGGAACCTTGCATTATTGTATTTTGATTTCAATTTCCTAATATTAGTATTTTATATGACCTTTTAATATTTTTTTAGAGTTAGGGGTATTTTTATAATTTCTAAAATTTCTGGAATAGGTCACATTTTTGGGTCAAAATATAAACTCCTACTAGGATTTGTTTCAATGGTAGATTAGGATTTTTTTCCTTAGTACATTTAGATTTGTTTCCTTAGCAGATTAAGATTTTAGGAATTTTTCTTGTAATGGCCAGCATATAAATAGGTATTCAATCAATGAAAAAGGGTAGATTATTATTCAGCAGCAATTGGAGAGACTTTCTCTAGGGCTCTTTGAAGAACTATTCAAACTTATCGGGATTTTCCGTGGCGTTCTCCAGCGACTTATCAAACGGGTTTCCATCACCGTTTGTGGCGTCTTCCTTATACCAAGGTTCTTGGTTGGCATCAAACAATGAGTTAAGGTCATATATACCAAGGTTCTTATTTGTCATAAACAATGGATCGAGATTTTATCATTCAAATTTGATCATAAAACGATCTTGGGTTCCTTTTCGTGTTGGATCTCGTTATGTTTGGCGGGGTTCACACCATTTGTTTAAAAAAAAATTCATCCAAAAATAGGAACAGAAAAGAGAAAAAAAAAACAAACAACAAAGGAGAAAATCCAAAAATATTTTTTTTTGAGCCTTATCTTCAAAGCGGCTGCATACACATTATAGTTGGTATCTTGTCTTATAGTTACTCAATCATTAACATAATTTTCTTGATTCTCGTGTCTTTTTTATTCCTTTCATGTTTCGCTCGTTCCTGTTCTTTTCGTGTTTCTTGTTCTTGTTCTTATTCTTATTCTTATTCTTGTTTTATTGTTTCATGGGCCTAATTACTAGTTGGGATTAAACAAGGTTGCATTGTCTCGACTGAGTTCAATTAGTTCTTAAAGAACTTGAGTGGGAAAACTCGAGGCAAAAGGCAAGAGAGTCTGAGACTATTATTAGTCGAATTTCCTTTGCCCCCCCCATTAAACTCGTATTTTGTTGGTTCTAGTTTATTACAAAATCTTATTTTGTTACTATCAAAATATAGTTGTTGATCATAAAAAAAAATAAAAAAAGAAAGAAGTCACCAATGCATCTTTCTATCCACTTTACTCCACCAACTGGTTTTATCATTTCAGAAAACTTCAACGACACAATCAAAGTGATCAATTTCCAAATTTTTTCTATGTTCCCTCAAGTAGTGATGAGAGCCAAGGTGGGCCTACTCTTAAAGATCCTTGGCATGTCCATATGGGCCAATTTCAAGATCAAGAGCCAAGAAGATCAAGGAAGTAATGCAAAGATTGGTCGAATGATGCTAGCAAGAGCCCAACACTCAAGATGAGCTTGAAAGAAGGAGAACCAATTTTGATCCACTTGATCCAAGCTATGGAAGACATGACTTAGAGATAGGGGTTTTTGTTGTTAAGACTTTCAATTTGTTTAAAGAATTTTTATTATTAGTTTATTTCTTATGAACTAGGGTTTTCGTAGTTACTGTAGCGGGTGCACTATTCATGCTACAGTAACCACGCACTTTTCACTCTTTTTAGGGTCTAATTGTAAGGCTTGTATGCCAAGTACTTTCCTTATTCTATTTAGGCATGTGATCAGCCAATTAAAGGGCTGAATGTCTTTCTTTTTCTTCAAGAGTTTTGGGAAAGTAAGAGATATTTCTTTACCAACAAGTAAGAGATATTTCTTAAATAGGATAGCTATTTTAGGAAGTTTCCTAATCCTTGTAATGGCCGGCCTATAAATAGGTGTTCTATCCATGAAATAGGAGGCAATATATAATGAATTTTGATTGTGAGTTGAGTTGAGTTTACTCCTCTTGTTCTTGATTGAATTTTTGAACTTATCAACGGTAAATCACAACCTTTGTGGCGTTCCTCCTTGTAATTTGGGTTCTTGAGACGGGTTCTTCAATGGGTCTAGATTTTAATATAATTTAGGTTCTTGAAACGAGTTCTCAACGGGTTTAGATACTCCATCCATAGACTTGAGTTTGGCTTTCTTGGGTTGTATTTCCAATATTGTTGTTGGGTTTCAAAGCAAGTCGATTGGGGTTCACCTCATTTTTTTTTCTTTTTTTATTGTCTCTCCTATTTCATTGATAGAACACCTATTTATAGGCTGGCCATTACAAGGATTAGGAAACTTCCTAAAATAGCTATCCTATTTAAGAAATATCTCTTACTTGTTGGTAAAGAAATATCTCTTACTTTCCTAAAACTCTTGAAGAAAAAGAAAGACATTCAGCCCTTTAATTGGCTGATCACATACCTAAATAGAAAAAGGAAAGTACTTGGCATACAAGCCTTACAATTAGACCCTAAAAAGANCGGCCCTTTCATTGGCTGATCACATGCCTAAATAGAATAAGGAAAGTACTTGGCATACAAGCCTTACAATTAGACCCTAAAAAGAGTGAAAAGTGCGTGGTTACTGTAGCATGAATAGTGCACCACTGCAGTAACTATGAAAACCCTAGTTCATAAGAAATAAAACATGTGCGGGCTAAGCATCCTCAAACCCACTTATTCTAAACTAATAATAAAAATTCTTTAAACAAATTGAAAGCCTTAACAACAAAAACCCCTATCTCTAAGCTTGGATCAAGTGGATCAAAATTGGTNCTAATAATAAAAATTCTTTAAACAAATTGAAAGCTTTAACAACAAAAACCCCTATCTCTAAGTCATGTCTTCTTGTCTTCCATAGCTTGGATCAAGTGGATCAATATTGGTTCTCCTTCTTTCAAGCGCATGTTGAGTGTTGGGCTCTTGCTAGCTTCATCCGACCAATCCTTGCATTACTTCCTTGATCTTCTTGGCTCTCGATCTTGTAATTGGCCCATATGGACATGCCAAGGATCTTTAAGAGTAGGCCCACCTTGCCTCTCATCAAGTAGAGACCAAAAGGAGACATCATCTTAAAGCTTCTCAGAGACGGCTACACACACAAGTTCATAGTTTTTGGACCTTCATACTCCAACTCTTTAAAAGTCAAGGTTGAGTTTTCTCCAACCAGGGGAGAATGACGCAATCCATAAGATGCTCAAGGAAGTACAAATTTGAAGATGTGAAAGATAATGGAATTGACTTTCCATCAAGACAATGATCCATATGGAACCTTGCATTATTGTATTTTTATTTCAATTTGCTAGTATTAGTATTTTATTTGTCCTTTTAATATTTTTTTAGAGTTTGGGGTATTTTTATAATTTCTAGAATTTCTGGAATAGGTCATATTTTTGGGTCAAAATATAAACTCCTACAAGGATTTGTTTCCTTAGTATATTAGGAAATTTTTTCTTAGTAGATTCAGATTTGTTTCCTTAGCAGATTAATATTTTAGGAATTTTTCTTCTAATGGCCAGCCTATACATAGGCATTCAATCAATGAAAAAGGGCAGATTATTGTTCAGCAGCAATTGGAGAGACTTTCTCTATGGCTCTTGGAAGAACTATTCAAACTTATCAGGATTTTCCGCGGCGTTCTCCAGCAACTTATCAAACGGGTTTCCACCACCGTTTGTGGCATCTTCCTTATACCAAGGTTCTTGTTTCACATCAAACAACGGGTTGAGGTCATATATACCAAGGTTCTTGTTTTTCGTAAATAACAGGATGAGATTTTATCATTCAAATCTGATCATAGAATGATCTGGGGTTCCTTTTCGCGTTGGATCTCATTATGTTTGGCAGGGGTTCACACCATTTGCTAAAAAAAAAATTCGTCCAAAAAAAGAAACAAAAAGGAGAAAAAAAATAAAAAAACAAACAAGCAACAGAGGAGAAAATCTAAAAATAATTTTTTTTTAGCCTTATCATCGAAGGGGCTGGATACATCATTATAGTTGGTATCTTGTCTTATAGTTACTCTATCATTCACATAATTTTCTTGATTCTTGTGTCTTTTTTATTCTTTTCATGCTTCTCATGTTTATGTTCTTTCCGTGTTTCTTGTTCTTGTTCATATTCTTATTCTTGTTTCATGGGCCTAATTACTAGTTGGGATTAAACAAGGTTGCATTGTCTTGATTGAGTTCAATTAGTTCTTAAAGAACTTGAGTGGGAAAACTCTTGAGGTAAAAGGCAAGAGAGTGTGAGACAATTATTGGGAGAAAAGCCAATTAAGAGTGAAACTCATAATGGACTGTGTGAGGTATTTTTTTTTACCACTAACATTCTTTGTGTGCAGCACATTACAATGTCTCACCGAAGTGGCTCATCACCAAAGGGGATAATCGATAACCCATTCTTTATGTTGAAGGGCATGCAACAACAATTTGAGCAATTGAACATGGGGTTAGGGGAAGTGAGGAATAGGATTGATCAGCAAGAAACAGCGATTAGAAATTTGCAATGTGAAGATTTGACGACAAATCTTTTTGAGGAAAGGAGGAATGATGAGAATCAAGGTACGCCTACTCTTAAAGATCCTTTGCATGTTCAGATGGACCAATTACAAGATTTAGAGCCAAGAAGATCAAAGAAGCCATGAAATGATTGGTGCAATCCACTTGGGATGAAGCTAGCAAGAGCCCAACACTCAAGATGGACTCGAAAGAAGGAAAACCAAATTAGGTCCCCTTGATCCAACACATGAATTAGAGGTAGGGCTTTTTGTTGTGAAGACTTTCAATTTATTTTCCTTAGTAGATTAGGATTTTTTTTCTTTAGTAAGTTCGGATTTGTTTCCTTAGCAGGTTAAGATTTTAGGAAATTTTCTTGTAATGGCCAGCCTATAAATAGACATTCAATCAGTGAAAAAGGGTAGATTATTATTCAGCACCAATTACAGAGACTTTCTCTACGGCTCTTTGAAGAACAATTCAAACTTATCAGGATTTCCCGTGGCGTTCTCCAGCGACTTATCAAACGGGTTTTCACTACTGTTTGTGGGGTCTTCCTTATACCAAGGTTCTTGTTTCGCATCAAACAACGGGTTGAGGTCATGTATACCTAGGTTCTTGTTTGTCGTAAACAACGGGACGAGATTTTATCATTCAAATCTGATCATAAAATGATCTTGGGTTCCTTTTTGTGTTGGATCTCGTTATGTTTGGCGGGGGTTCACACCATTTGTTGAAAAAAAAAATATTCGTCCAAAAAAAGATACATAAAATAGAAAAGAAAAACAAATAATAGACGAGAAAATCCAAAAATAATTTTTTTTTTTAGCCTTATCTTCAAAGGGGCTGCATACATCATTATAGTTGGTTTCTAGTCTTGTAGTTACTCTATCATTCACATAATTTTCTTGATTCTCGTCTCTTTTTTATTCCTTTCATGTTTCTCTTGTTCCTATTCTTTCCGTGTTTCTTGTTCTTGTTCTTATTCTTATTCTTGTTTTCTTGTTTCATGGGCCTAATTACTAGTTGGGATTAAACAAGATTGCATTGTCTTGACTGAGTTCAATTAGTTCTTAAAGAACTTGAGTGGGAAAACTCTTGAGGTAAAAGGCAAAAGAATTTGCGACTATTATTGGGAAAGAAGACAATTAAGAGTGAAATCCGTAAGGGAGTGTGTGAGGTTTTTTTTTTTTAACCACTAACATTCTTTTTGTGCAACACATTACAATGTCTCACCGAAGTGGCTCATCACCAAGGGGGATAATCGATGACCCATTCTTTATGTTGCAGGGCATGCAACAACAATTTGAGTTGTTGAACTTGGTGTTGGGGGAAGTGAGGGATAGGATTGATCAGGAAGAAGCAGCGATTAGAAATTTGCAAGGTGAAGATTCAAGGACGAATTTTTTTGAGGAAAGGGGGAATGATGAAAATCTAGGTGGGCCTACTCTTAAAGATCCTTCGCTTGTCCAGAGGGGGCGAATTACAAGATCAAGAGCCAAGAAGATCAAGGAAGCAATGCAAGGGTTGGTGCAATCCCCTAAGGATATGAAGCTAGCAAGAACCCAACACTCAAGATGGGCTTGAAAGAAGGAGAACCAATTTTGATCCACTTGATCCAAGCTGTGGAAGACATGACTGAAATATAGGGCTTTTTGTTGTTAATGCTTTCAATTTATTTAAAGGATTTTTATTATTAGTTTAGAATAAGTGGGCTTGAGGATGCTTAGCCCACATATGTCTCATTTCTTATGAATTAGGGTTTTTGGGAAGGCCTTGTATTTTGGCCAAGGGCATATTAGGAAAGTTATTATTTTATTTGAACTACAGTTTTAGAAGTTAATATAGCACGACACTATTTACGCTACAGTACCATGACACTATTCACTCAAGGGCATTTTTGAGTGAAAGGGTCACAAATTTTAGTGTAGGGTTTTATCATGTTTTGGGTATGGTATTTAAAGGATGTAACCTGCCACTTCAAGAGGCAGACATATTGAATTTTAATAGTTAGTTGAGTTTAGTCTTCTTCTTCTTGAAAGAACTTTTGAACTTATCAAAGGTAAATCACAACCTTTGTAGCGTTTCTCTTTTTAATTTGGGATCTTGATACGGGTTCTTCAACAGGTCTAAATTTCAATATAATCTAGGTTCTTGAAACTAGTTGTCAAAGGGTTTAGATTCACCATCCAAAGACCTGAGTTTGGTTGTCTTGGGTTGTTTATCCAATATTGTTGTTTGGTCTCAAAACAAGTCAATTGGGGTTCACATCATTCAGTATCAGGGCAAAGGTTCTAATTCAGGTTTGCATATCTTTTAAAACAAAAAATAAAAAACTATCTTTTCTTTATTCTATGTTCTTTACTTCCAAACTGGGTTCACAAATTATAGTTTAGTTGAATTTCCTTTGCCCCCCGTTAAGCTCGTATTTTGTTGGTTCTAGTTTATTACAAAATCTTACTCTGTAACTATCAAAAGATAGTTGTTGAACATCAAAAAAAAAAAACAAAAAAAGAAAGGAGTCACCAATGCTTCTTTCTATCCACTTTGCTCCACCAATTGGTTTTATCATTCCAGAAAACTTCAACGACACAATCAAAGGGATCAATTTCAAAAAAATTTTGTTGTTCCCACAACTAGAGATAAAAAGCAGACATCATCTTAAAGCATCTTAAAGCTTCTTAGAGACAGCTACATATACAAGTTCAATGTTTTTGGACTTTCATACTCCAACACTTTAAAACTCGAGATTGAGTTTTCTCCAACCAGAGGGGAATGATGCANAAACATCATCTTAAAGCTTCTTAGAGACAGCTACATATACAAGTTCAATGTTTTTGGACTTTCATACTCCAACACTTTAAAACTCGAGATTGAGTTTTCTCCAACCAGAGGGGAATGATGCAATCTACAAGATGCTCAAGGAAGTACAAATTTGAAGATGTGAAAGATAGTGGAATTGGCTTTTCATCAAGACAAAGATCCATATGGAACCTTGCATTATTGTATTTTTATTTCAATTTGCTAGTATTAGTATTTTATATGTCCTTTTAATATTTTTTTTAGAGTTAGGGGTACTTTTTATAATTTCTACAATTTATGGAATAGGTCATATTATTGGGTCAAAATATAAACTCCTACTACGATTTGTTTCCTTAGTTGATTAGGATTTTTTTTCTTTAGTAGATTCGGATTTGTTTCCTCAGCAGATTAAGATTTTAGGAATTTTTCTTGTAAAGACTAGCCTATAAATAGGCATTCAATCAATGAAAAAGGGTAGATTATTATTCAGCAACAACTGGAGAGACTTTCTCTACAGCTCTATAAAGAAGTATTCAAACTTATCGGGATTTCCCGTGGTGTTCTGCAGCGGCTTATCAAACAGGTTTTCACCACCATTTGTGGCGTCTTCCTTATACCAAGGTTTTTGTTTCGCATTAGACAAAGGGTTGAGATCATATATACCAAGGTTCTTGTTTGTCATAAACAACGGGTCGAGATTTTATCATTCAAATCTGATCATAGATCGATCTTGGGTTCCTTTTTGTGTTGGATCTCGTTTTGTTTGGTGGGGGTTCACACCATTTGTTTAAAAAACAATTAGTCCAAAAAAAGAAACAGAGAAGAGAAAAAAAAAACAACAGAGAAGAAAATCCAAAAATAATTTTTTTGGAGCCTTATCTTGAACGGGGCTACATACATCATTATAGTTGTTATCTTGTCTTATAGTTACTCTATCATTCACATAATTTTCTTAATTCTCGTGTATTTTTTATTCCTTTCATGTTTCTCTTGTTCCTGTTCTTTCCGTGTTTCTTGTTCTTGTTCTTATTCTTATTCTTGTTTTCTTGTTTCATGGGCCTAAATACTAGTTGTGATTAAACAAGGTTGCATTGTCTTGATTGAGTTCAATTAGTCCTTAAAGAACTAGAGTGGGAAAACTCTTGAGGTAAAAGGCAAGAGAGTATGAGACTATTATTGGCAAAAAATTCCATTAAGAGTGAAACACAGAAGGGAGTGTGTGAGGTTTTTTTCTTACCGCTAACATTCTTTTTTTGCAGCAGATCACAATGTCTCACAGAAGTGGCTCATCACCAAGGGGGACAATTGATAAAATATTCTTTATGTTGCAAGTCATGCAACAACAATTTGAGCAGTTGAACTTGGTGTTGGGGGAAGTGAGGGATAGGATTGATCAGCAAGAAGCAGCGATTAGAAATTTGCAAGGTGAAGATTCAAGGACGAATTTGTTTAGGAAAGGGGGAATGATGAGAATCAAGGTGGGCCTACTATTAAAGATCCTTTGCATGTCCAGATGGGCCAATTACAAAACCAAGAGGCAAGAAGATCAAGGAAGCAATGCAAGGATTAGTGCAATCCACTTCGGATCAAGCTAGCAAGAACCCAACACTCTAGATGGGCTCGAAAGAAGAAGAACCAATTTTCATCCACTTGATCCAAGCTGTGGAAGACATGAACACATGACTTAGAGATATGGCTTTTTGTTGTTAATGCTTTCAATTTATTTAAAGGATTTTTATTATTAGTTTAGAATAAGTGGGCTTGAGGATGCTTGGCCCACATATGTCTCATTTCATAAGAATTAGGGTTTTTGGGAAGCCCTTGTATTTTGGCCAAGGGCTCATTAGGAAAGTTATTATTTTATTTGAACTAGAGTTTTAGAAGTTACTGTAGCATGGCACTATTCACTTAAGGGCATTTTTGAGTGAAAAGGTCACAAATTTTAGTGTAGGGTTTTATCATGTTTTGGGAAGGGTATTTAAAGGATGTAACCAGCCACTTCAAGAGGCAGACAATATGGTAGACAATATTGAATTTTAATAGTTTGTTGAGTTTACTCTTCTTGTTTTTGAATGAACTTTTGAACTTATCAAAGGTAAATCACAACCTTTGTGGCGTTCCTCTTTTTAATCTGGGTTCTTGAGGTGGGTTCTTCAACGGGTCTAAATTTGAATAGAATCTAGCTTCTTGAAACCAGTTGTCAACGGGTTTAGATTCGCCATCCATAGACCTGACTTTGGATTTCTTGGGTTGTTTATCCAATATTGTTGTTGGGTCGCAAAGCAAATCAATTGGGGTTCACATCATTCGGTATCAGAGCTAAGGTTCTAGATCAGGTTTGCCTATCTTTTAAAACAAAAAAAAAACAAAAAAACTTTCATTTCCTTATTGTATGTTCTTTACTGCCAAACTGGGTTCACAAATTCTAGTTTAGTTGAATTTCCTTTGCCCCCTATTAAGCTCGTATTTTGTTGGTTCTAGTTTATTACAAAAATCTTATTCTATTACTATCAAAAGATAGTTGTTGATCATCAAAAAAAAAAAGGGGGGTCACCAATGCTTCTTTCTATGCACTTTGCTCCACAAATTGTTTTTATCATTCCAGAAAACTTCAACGACACATTCAAAGGGATCAATTTTCAAATTTTTTCTTTGTTCCCTCAAGTAGGGATGAAAAATAGACATCATCTTAAAGCATCTCAGAGACAGCTACATATACAAGTTCAAAGTTTTTGGACTTTCATACTCCAACACTTTAAAACTTGAGGTTGAGTTTTCTCTAACCAGGGGAGAATGATGCAATCCATAAGATGCTCAAGGAAGCACAAATTTGAAGATATGAAAGATAATGGAATTGGCTTTGCATCAAGACAAATATCTAGATGGAACCTTGCATTATTGTATTTTTATTTCAATTTGCTACTATTAGTATTTTATATGTCCTTTTAAGATTTTTTTTAGAGTTAGGGGTATTTTTATAAATTCTAGAATTTCTGGAATAAGTCATATTATTGGGTCAAAATATAAACTGCTACTAGGATTTGTTTCCTTAGTAGATTCGGATTTGTTTCCTTAGCAGATTAAGGTTTTAGGAATTTTTCTTGTAATGGCCAGCCTATAAATAGGCATTCAATCAATGAAAAAGGGTAGATTTTTATTGAGCAGCAATTGGAGAGACTTTCTCTACGACTCTTTGAAGAACTATTCAAACTTATCGGGATTTCCCGTGGTGTTCTACAACGACTTATCAAATGGGTTTGCACCACCATTTGTGGCGTCTTCCTTATACCAAGGTTCTTGTTTCACATCAAACAACGGGTTAAGGTCATATATACCAAGGTTCTTGTCTGTTGTAAACAATGGGTCAAGATTTTATCATTCAAATATGATTATAGAGCGATCTTGGGGTCGTTTTCGTGTTGGATCTCGTTATGTTTGGCGGGGGTTCACACCATTTGTTTAAAAAAAAAAATTCGTCCAGAAAATGATACAGAAAATTAAAAAAAAAACAAACAATATTGGAGAAAATGTAAAAAGAATTTTTTTTTTTAGACTTATCTTCAAAGGGGTTGCATACATAATTATAGTTGGTATCTTGTCTTGTAGTTACTCTATGATTCACATAATTTTCTTCATTCTCGTCCCTTTTTTATTCCTTTCATGTTTCCCTTGTTCCTATTATTTCCGTGTTCCTTGTTCTTGTTCTTATTCTTATTCTTGTTTTCTTTTTTCGTGAGCCTAACTACTAGTTGGGATTAAAAAAGGTTGCATTGTCTTGACTGAGTTCAATTTGTTCTTAAAGAACTTGAGTGCGAAAACTCTTGAGGTAAAAGGCAAGAGTGTGTGAGACTATTATTGGGAAAAAAGCCAATTAAGAGTGAAACACGTAAGGGACTGTGTGTGGTTTTTTTTTAACCACTAACATTCTTTTTGTGCAGCACATTACAATGTCTCACCGAAATGGTTCATCACCGAGGGGGATAATCGATAACCCTTTCTTTATGCTGCAGGGCATGCAACAACAATTTGAGCAGTTGAACTTGGTGTTAGGGCAAGTGAGGGATATGATTGATTAGAAAGAAGCAGCGATTAGAAATTTGCAAGGTGAAGACTCGATGACCAATCTTTTTGAGGAAAGGGGGAATGATGAGAATCAAGGTGGGCCGACTCTTAAAAATCCTTTGCATGTCCAAAAAGATCAAGTAAGCAACGCAAGGGTTGGTGCAATCCACTTGGGATGAAGCTAGCAAGAGCCCAACACTCAAGATGGGCTCGAAAGTAGAACCAATTTTGATCCACTTGATCCAAGTTGTGAAAGGCATGAAGACATGACTTATAGATTGGGCTTTTTGTTGTTAAGGCTTTCAATTTGTTTAAAAGATTTTTATTATTAGTTTAGAATAAGTGGGCTTGGGGATGCTTGTCCACATGTGTCTCATTTCTTATGAATTAGGGTTTTTGTGAAGGCCTTGTATTTTGGCCAAGGGCATATTAGGAAAGTTAATATTTTCTTTGAACTAGGGTGTTAGAAGTACTGTAGCAGGACACTATTCACACTACAATACCATGGCACTATTCACTCAAGGGCATTTTTGAGTGAAAGGGTCATAAATTTTAGTGTAGGGTTTTATCATGTTTTGGGAAGGGTTTTTAAAGGATGTAACCAGCCACTTCAAGTGGTAGACATTATGGTAGACAATATTGAATTTTAATTATGAGTTGACTTTACTCCTCTTGTTCTTGAATGAACTTTTCAACTTATCAAAGGTAAGTCACAACCTTTGTGGCGTTCTTCCTTTTAATCTGGGTTCTTGAGACAGGTTCTTCAACGAGTCTAAATTTTCATATAGTTTAGGTTCTTGAAATGAGTTATCAACAAGTTTAAATTCTCCATCCATAGACCTGAGTTTTGCTTTCTAGGGTTGTTTTTCCAATATTGTTGTTGGTTCTCAAAGCAGGTTAATTGAGGTTAACATCATTCGGTATTAGAGCAAAGGTTCTAGTTCTGGTTTGCCTGCCTTTTAAAACAAAAAAAACTTTCATTTCTCTATTCTATGTCCTTTACACTCAAACTGGGTTCACAAATTCGAATTTCCTTTGCCCCCCATTCAGCTCGTATTTTGTTGGTTCTAGTCTATTACAAAATGTTATTCTGTTACTATCAAATGATTGTTGTTGATCATCAAAAAAAAAACAAAAAACGAAAGGAGTCACCAATGCTTGTTTCTATCCACTTTTCTCCACCAATAGGTTTTATCATTCTAGAAAACTTCAACGACACAATCAAAGGGATCAATTTCCAAATTTTTTCTTTGTTCACTCAAGTAGAGATGAAATGGAGACATCATCTTAAAGCTTCTCAGAGACGGCTACATATACAAGTTCAAAGTTTTTGGACTTTCATACTCCAACACTTTAAAACTTGAGGTTGAGTTTTTTTCAACTAGGGGAGAATGATGCAATCTATAAGATGCACAAGGAAGCACAAATTTGAAGATGTGAAAGGTAATGGAATTGGCTTTCCATCAAGACAAAGATCCATATGGAACCTTGCATTATTGTATTTTTATTTCAATTTGCTAGTATTAGTATTTTATATGTCAATTTAATATTTTTTTAGAGTTAGGGTTATTTTTTATAATTTCTAGAATAGGTCATATTTTTGTGTCAAAAAATAAACTCCTACTAGGATTTGTTTCCTTAGTAGATTAGGATTTTTTTTCTTTTTGTAGATTCGGATTTGTTTCCTTAGCAAATTAAGATTTTAGGAATTTTTCTTGTAATGGCCAGCCTATAAATAGGCATTCAATCAATGAAAAAGAGTAGATTTTTATTCAGCAGCAATTGGAGAGACTTTCTCTACGGCTCTTTGAAGAACTATTCAAACTTATTGGGATTTCCCATGGTGTTCTGCAGCGACTTATCAAATGGGTTTCCACCCGCGTTTGTGGCGTCTTCCTTATACCAAGGTTCTTGTTTCGCATCAAACAACGGGTTGAGGTCATATATACCAAGGTTCTTGTCTGTCGTAAACAACGGGTTGAGATTTTATCATTCAAATATGATCATAGAGCGATCTTGGGTTCCTTTTCGTGTTGGATTTCGTTATGTTTGGCGGGGGTTCACACCATTTGTTTTAAAAAAAATATTCATCCAAAAAAAGATACAGAAAAGAGAAGAAAAAAAAACAAACAACAGAGGAGAAAATCCAAAAATAATTATTTTTTTAGACTTATCTTCAAAGGGGCTGCATACATCATTATAGTTGGTATCTTGTCTTATAGTTACTCTATCATTCACATAATTTTGTTGATTCACGTCTCTTTTTTATTTCGTTCATGTTTCTCTTGTTCGTATTATTTTTGTGTTCCTTGTTCTTGTTCTTATTCTTATTCTTGTTTTCCTTTTTCGTGGGCCTAACTACTAGTTCTGATTAAACAAGGTTGCATTGTCTTGACTGAGTTCAATTAGTTCTTAA